CATGTGGAAGAGATCCTTGTGACACTAGAGCAGTGGGGTGCAAACTCTGTGTGTAGGTTGTCACTCTGAGAGCTTTGTAGAGTCCTGGGCTTCTTCAGCCCCATTCCTTATCTTCCACGAGAGTCTGAATCTTTGCATCTAGGAGCTGCATTTTTAACAAGGAAGCCCTGTTCCTTAGACCACACTTGTAGAAACACTGAGGAAGAAACAAAGACCGTTATTGCCCACATGGAAACTGCAGAGAGAAGTGCTTCTCCTTTAAGATGAGAGTTGTCGTCAGTGGAGGGGATGATCCCTTGGCTGGGAGTTGTGCAAGGCCCAGAAAATTGAGATGTAGATCCAGTAGAGTCTGTCTTAAACCTGTGATGGTCTGATTCTCTGAAATCTGACCTGCCAGGCAGCTGTTCTCTGCTGTAAGGTTGTTCCTGATGGTAGGTCTTGTGGGCTCTGGTTCTCCTCCAGGAGCAGGAACTGAAAGCTGCCGCTGATGGTGTCCTATCTGAAGTGAGGAAAAAACAAGCAGACACCAAAAGAATGGTGGACCTTCTTCGGGCCTTGGAGAAATTGAGGAAGCTGAGGAAAGAGGCTGCAGCGAGGAAAGGTAACTGTGGCTTTGCATTTCTCCTTGCAGTTCTTCCCCTTTTTTACCACAACCCCCTAGATATTTTTGAAGCAAAAAATGCTTGATACTTTTCCTAATTATTTTCATGCTATAGAGTAACTGGGCTTGGTAGCAGTAGCTCAGAATTTCTGAAGCAGAAAGCCTCAGAAGATGTTTAGCCCTTGGTAACTGTCTTAGTCATCTAGTGCTGCTGTAACAGAAATACCACAAGTGGATGGCTTTAACAAAGAAATTTATTTTCTTACAGTCTGGTAGGCTACAAGTCCAAATATAGGGCATCAGCTCATCAGCCCCAGGGGAAGTCTGTCTGTGTTGGCTCTGGAGGAAGGTCCTTGTCATCAATCTTTCCTTGGTCTGGGAGCTTCTCAGCACAGGAACCTCTGGTCCAAAGGATACGTTCTACTTCCAGCACTGCTTTCTTTGTGATATGAGGTCCCCCTGTCTCTCTGCTCACTTCTCTCTTTTATATGTCAAAAGAGATTGGCTCAAGACACAATCCAGTCTTATAGATTGAGTCCTGCCTCATTAACCTAACTGCCACCTATCCCACCTCATTAACATCATAGAGGTAGGATTTACAACACGTAGGAAAATCACATCAGATGACAGAATGGTGGACAATCACAGAATACTGGGAATCATGGCCTAGCCAAATTGATACACATATTTTTTGGGGGGACACTATTCAATCCATGACAATAGCCAAGGATGAAAAGAGAAGCACCGGTAGGAACCCACTGCACATGTGAATGGTTGGATAGGGCAAGGAGTGCCCTGCAGACTGCACAGAGCTTCCCAGCTTCCCTGAATGTCACTTCTGGGCTCAGAAGACCTCAGTGGTCTCTGGAAGGAGTGCCAGATGTAGCCAGCAATCCAAGCCTTTCCTCAAAAGTTGGCTCCCACCTTTCTGGTTTTCTAGAAGTTCCCAGTCATGCTTTCCATTTGCCTGTCTGGATCGTTGCTCCTGCTAGTCTGTCTGGAGGGCCCTCAGTCCCCATCTTTGCCATTTTAAGCCCTCACTATCCATCAGAACCAAATACAGATGCAACATCTTTGAGGAAGCCTTTCCTGATCTGGGCTGAGGTGACCTTCTTCTCACTTGTATCTGGTGTGGACCACAGGCTGCCTTATTCGTAGGTTGTAGACCCTTGACATTCACCAGGGATATTTGAGAGAACACAAATAAGCAAGTACCACTATAGCAAATGATTTCTCCTATGTAGTTTAAAATATAAATGAAAACTGTGACTCTTTCAGACCCTTAATTAAATTTTATTGGGATGTGACGATTGCACAGTCAGGCTCATTAACTAGCTAAATGATTGGCATCAGCCTGCCGGCATACTAGAGAATGGGTGATTCAAATGTAGGTCTCAGAGATAATACAGATGATCCCATTGTAGTACTTCTGGGGTACTCATGAGTAGTCAGAGGGGAGTTAGCATCTATGGATTGAATTGTGTCCCCCAAAAGTATGCATTATAAATCCTAACCCCTACACCTGTGGTTATAATCCCATTTGGGAATGGGTTTTCTTTGCTATGTTAAGAGGCCATTATCAGTGTAGTGTGTGTTTTAAGCCAGTCACCTTTGAGATACAAAAAGAGCATATCCAGCATGGAGAAGCAAGCACTAATGGATGGAGAAGGTACAAGTCAAGGAACTTAGAAATTGAAGCTGAGAAGAAACAAAGACCTGGCGCTAGAGCCGACAGAGAGAGAGCCTTCTACTATAGCCAGCGCCCTGAATTTAGACTTCTAGCCTCCTAAACTGTGAGAAAGGAGATTTCTGTTTGATAAAGCCACTCACCACTTGGAGTATTTCTATATATATATTTTGTTGTTGAGAATATACACAGCAAAACATAACCAATTCAAGTTTCTACATGTACTGTTCAGTGACATTGATGACATTCCTCAGGTTGTGTAACCGTTCTCACCCTCCTTTTCTGAGTTGTTTCTCCTCCATTAACATAAACTCACTGCCCCCTGAGGTTCCTACCTAATCCTTCAAGTTGCTCTTCTCAATTTCATCCCATATAGATAGTTCTTAAAAGAGCGTAATGCTCAAGGCAGACTTTTTACTAGTTAAGTTACTATTGCTTGGTTTTAAGAAGATTCCAGGTGATGTTTTTGGTTACGGTTTAAAGATCATCTCAGGGCAGTAGTTTCAGGGGTTCATCCAACCTTCATGGCTCTAGAAAGTCTGAATTCCATAAGAATTTGAAATTCTGTATTTTCCCCCTTTTGATGAGGATTCTTCTGTGGAATCTTTGATCAAAACGTTCAGTAATGGTAGCTGGGCACCATCAAGTTCTCAGTTGTGGTATTTCTGTTATAGCAGCACTAGATAACTAAGACACCTTATCTCTTCCTTATTAGAAAACAAAAACCTGAGGACCACTATTTAATATTTCCTCACCTCACATCCTTCATGAGTGAGTGCTCAGTAAACTTGCTACCAAGTGAATTTACCAGCATAATTTCTCAGTATTACTCTTCCTCACTTTGATGGTTAAATAGCTGCCCAAAAGAAGGGGGAAATTTTAGGAGGAATTGTGATCTATAAAAATAAGCAACTTCTGTGGAGTTAATTGACTAATGTACAGTGATTTGGTAACAACTGGTTGTGTGTGTACTTAAAAAGAAAACTAGTAGCTTCCTAATTTCTCTCTTCAAAACGTGCTCCTTCAAGTAAATGGTGAGAATTGAGGGTGGATACATAAGCAGGGCCACATTGCAAAGTGGGCTAGGCTAGAGTTCTCACCTTGTGTTTCAAGCTGTAAGGTAACATTGAAGGATTTTAACCAGAGAGAGAAATGATGAGAAAGATCAGTGCTGGCAGAGTAGGAAAAGGTTTGGGGCATCCAAGATTGTGGGAGGGTGGGAGAGAGACTGGTGAGGCTGTTGTAGCCTGGGCAAGGACAGGATAAGGGGCAGACAGTAAGTTGGAGAGAAGTAAATGGATTTACGGATATGAATGAAGTAATATATATACCCATATAAATAACGCAGGGACTGAGCATATGGGAGCTAAAGGCAAAAATGACTTCTAGGTTCTAGCTTGGTTTACGGAATGAGTGGTGATACCTGATGAACAGATTTGGGGTTGACAAGTTCTGTTTGGACCTGTTGAGCTGAGGTATCTGTAGAATAACCTGGATAAGAGTTCATCAGCATGTAGCCATGGGTAGAAATGACCATAAGGAAGTTGTGTAGCATGAGATGAGGGCTGAGAAAACAAAATCCTAGGGAATGTCAAAATCAAGGTGGGTAAAGAGGAGGCCACCAAAGAGAACAGAGAGACAAGAGGAAACGATAGACTCAGGAGGAAGAAGTAGCCCCCTCGCTCCTTCTGGAAAGTGACAGATACTCAGAGAGATTGTGTAATCCTGGGTAGGTTACTTAAGCTTCTCTGTACCTCAGTCTCCTCGTTCATAACAAGGGAATAATAATAGTACCCCCCTGCCATGGAGTGTTTGAGGATTAAATTAGTAAGTATATATAAATACTTAAAACAGTCTTGGAACATAGTAAATGCTATATGAGCGTTCCATGTTATTATTGTTGGTAAGATAAAGGTTAAGAAACATCCATGGGAATTAATACCCAGCAGGGCACAAAAGTCCCATTTTTAGGAGCACTTCAGTGGAGTGGTAGGGATAGAATAGCCAGACTAGAATGGGTTGGAGAGTGAATAGGAGGTGAAAAAGACAAACAGTGGAGTCAATTTGTTAAAAGATTGGCTGTGAAGGAACGAGAGAGCAAGAGTGTTGCTGGCTCTGTGTACGTGTATGTGCTGGGGAGCTGTGGGGTTTACATGAACTTTACCCAAAAAATTTGGTCTTTGTCCTTGGTTCCTGAGAAATAACCTCTAAAACTTCAGAATTTCCCCAATTATCATAGCTGTCTTTGAGGAGGGGTCCAGACTACATCTAACCTAATGGGTTATGCTAATGAGGTGACTCTTGGGGGGAGCTGGTCAGGCCAGAAAGACCCACTTTTTTTTTTTAATTGTACTTTAGGTGAAAATTTACAGCTCAAGTTAATTTCTCATTCAAAAATTTATACACATATTGTTTTGTGACATTGGTTGTAATCCCCACAATGTGACAGCACACTCTCCCTTTCCATCCCGGGTTCCCTGTGTCCATTCAACCAGTTCCTGTCCCTCCCTGTCTTCTCATCCTGCTTTTGGACAGGAGCTGCCCATCTGGTGTCATGTATCTGATTGAGCTAAGAAGCATGTTCCTCACATGTATTATTTTTTGTTTTATAGTCCTGTCTAATCTTTGTCTGAAGAGTGGGCTTTGGGAATGGTTTCAGTTCTAGGTGAACAGTGCATCCAGGGGCCATAGTTTCGGGGGTTCCTCCAGTCTCTTGTCAGACCATTAAGTTTGGTCTTTTTCTGTGAATTTGAATTCTGTTCTGCATTTTTCTCCTGCTCTGTCTGGGACTCTGTTGTGTTCCCTGTAGGGGTGGTCATTGGTGTTAGCCAGGCACCATTTAGTTCTTCTGGGCTCAGGCTGGTGGAGTCTCTGGTTCATTTGGTCCTTTAGTCCTTTGGGCTAGTATTTTCCTTGTGTCTTTGGTTTTCTTCATTCTCCTTTGCTCCGAGTAGCATGGGACCAATAGATGTCTTAGATGGCTGCTCACAAGCTTTTAAGACCCCAGACGCGACTTAACCAAAGTGGGATGTAAAACATTTTCTTAATAAACTATGTTATGCCAGTTGACCTAAATGTCCTCCGAAGCTATGGTCCCCAGGCCGCAGCTCCAGCTACTCAAAGTGTTTTGATGTGCCTAGGAAACTTACTTGCTTTTGCTGTGGTCCAGTTGTGCTGACTTCCCCTGTATTGTGTGTTGCCCTTCCCTTCACCGAAGTTGACCTTTCAAAGACCCACCGCTTCATCACCTGTATTATCAGCCAGCTTCAGGAGAGAGCAGCTGGTGTTTGAATTACTTAATGAGACGCCCAGTAAAAGCTCTGGACACAGAAGCTCCGTGGCTTCCTGGTTGGTGAAAGCCATCGATGCGTGTGGAAGGGTGGTACATCCCTTTTTGGGACATGGAAGTTTCTGTATTGGGAACCCTCCTAGACCTTGCCCGATGCATCTCTTCGTTTGTATCTTTTTTGCTTTAATAAAACTCTAATCCTAAGTATAGCACTTTCCTGAATTCTGTGAGTTGTCTGAGCAAATAATCCAACCCAAGAGAATAGTGGGAGCCGGGAGGTCAGAAGTGAGGGGAGCCTTGAGGACCCCTGAGCTTGCTGCTTGTTAAGTCAATTATGGTGCATTGATGAGATGAAATAGGATAGAGCTCTGAAATAATTATGAGGACTGGAAAAGAATATGGATAATTAATGGTGATTGTACAGCCACATGGAAATTACATCTGTGTAAGGCTGAACCATATACACTTGCTAACATACGGGCACAAAAGTTTGGAAAGGAGCGTGTAGATTATGCTTATGGTAGCTGGATTATGATTTTTTTCTTTGTATCTGGTGTTGTTGAAACGTTTGTGTAATAAATACCTTTCCCTTTAAAATCTTCAAGAACTGACAGGATGGGCCAATTCCACATCAGTCGATGTTGAAACACCCAGCAGCTTCCTCGGCTTTTATTTGCAGGGCCATTACAATAGTGAGTGCAGACCTGCAATCCACTGAAGTATTCATTGAGCATTGCTTTTTTTTCCTTAACTATGTGAAGCAATAATTCTTTGATTTCACCTAATAAGCAGTTCATGATCAAATAGTGCCGGTTGCTGCTTTCTAAATGTTAACCGTACCGTTAGCTGACCTCACAGTTAACTGGGGTGACCGACTGTTCTGGTTTTCTTAGTACTGAGGAGTTTCCCAGGACACGGGCCTTTCAGTGCTGAAACCAGGCAGCTGGAGGCTGTTGGCCACCTGCTGTCAGCAGCAGACTGAGATCAGTGTGGCTGGTTAAGTGTAGCTGCTTCTTCACCATTCGAAGTGTGTGCTCCCAAAACTTCAGACTCAATCAGAGGGAACATTGTTCATCTCACAGGTAAGTTTCAGCCTTTAGGGAGCTCACTCACTGGAAGATGAGGACCACTCGAACAAAATCAAGGGTGTTAAGTGGTGTGGTTCCGAGTGAGTTCAGAGAAAGATGGGCCAGGATCGCAGCAATTGGATGCTCAAGAAAACCAAACTGAGCCTTGAAGATTGAGTAGAATTTACAAATTCTAAGCAAACTCAAAAACAGGACTTTGAGTTTGCTTAGTAGAACACAGGTATGTTCTAATTTGGGGATATGAAACAGTTTTGTCTAAAATGCCATTTGGATCTCTTCGCCCAGGGGTCTGTCCTCCTGCCTCAGCAGATGAGACTTTCGAGCATCATCTGCAGCGACTGAGAAAACTCATTAAAAAGCGCTCTGAACTGTATGAAGCTGAAGAGAGAGCCCTCAGAGTGATGCTGGAAGGAGAGCAGGAGGAAGAGAGGAGAAGAGAACTGGAAAAGAAACAAAGAAGAGAAAAGGAGAAAATTTTACTTCAGAAGCGTGAAATCGAGTCCAAGTTATTTGGGGACCCAGGTAGGTTCCTCAGTAACCAGTGGAGAAAAGGAAAATGCTAAGTTGGCTCTTCTCATCATGGATGATCTCAGCTTAAGCTAAGGGGTGGTGGTGGTGTTAGGTGCTGGTGAGTCAATTTTCGACACATCACAACCCCATGTGACACAGTAGAACTGCCTCAGAGGGTTTCCTTGGCTGTAATCTTTACAGGAGCAGACTGCCAGGTCTTTTCTCCCAGGAGCAACTGGGTGGGTTTGAACTGCCAACCTTTAGTTAGCAGCCACTAGGGTTCCTTAAGCTAAGGGGTAGTAGGCCGCAAATGACACATTCAGGATTCACTCTATCATGGAAATAACGGATAAAGATGAAACACATTTGATCATATTGTCGCAATCACAGGCCCAGTCACCTTGCTTTGAGAAAGACACTCTAGATATAAAGCGTGATGACATGGTATTGTACCTTCCTTTCTTAGATGAGTTCCCACTTGCTCACCTCTTGGAGCCTTTCCGACAGTATTACCTCCAAGCTGAACACTCCCTGCCAGCGCTCATCCAGATAAGGTAAAGGGGTAGACTCTCCAACTGTTGCCTTTCCCTTAGGTAGCAAGACGCAGTTGATGAAGCGCTTATTACATTGTTGAGGTCTATTGCTGTATCTTTTTTTTAAAGTTCTTTATGGGTTTATAATGTTCCCAAGGTTCAACAATGCCACAGTCGTCTTGCTCGCTTCTCATTAATCCTTGAGAAGTGACAGGTGAGGAAATGGAAACTCAGGTTGTGACTGGCCCGTTTGTATTGTCCCGTGCTAGAGCTGTTAGGATGATTTACGGCATTGGCTTCCTTTTCCTGATTCTCTGCTCTGGTGCTAAACAGACCAAGGAAGAGAAACTCTCCCCTGTGTTCTTGCCTGTGGAAACTGTTGAAGACCCATACTGGCTCCTGAACTCTTACAGGTCAAAGCCAAACAAGCTAAGAACAAGGGGAATTAGAGTCTCATCTTCATTTGCAGTCACTAATGAGCTGGGAAAAGTTCTCAGCTCTTTGGGTCTCACTTTCCTCATCTGTAAGATGCAGATGGTGGACTGGAATGGTGGCTGTCAGAACTAGGAGCAGCACTCGTCCCAAATGCAGTCTCTTGAGAAATCAGTATGCACAACAGAATGAATGGTTTCCCAGGTGGTTTAAATCTGTTATTGACTGAAAACACTTAGTTGTTTCTAGACCTCCTCAAAGCATATACTGGGCTCTAGGGGTCTTCAAAGCATGGTTTGAAAATCACAAAACAAAGTGATCTCTGAGATCCTTTCCAAAGCTCTAATGATTTGTGATTCTTATAAAAGAGTGCTCTTTAGCATACCAAGTTTATGTTCTGGGAAAAATACATCTCTGGATTGTATACAAGCCTTAGCTTTTAAACATGTATATTCATTATTTGGTTACCCGTAAGCTAATATGTTCTTATTTTTAGTTTTTTCTTCTTTATGTGTACATTTAAGAAATATTCTTTTGCATAATTCCTAGAAGTTCTGTAATGGATTAGTACATCAGTCAAAACTAAGTCCTAGAAATAGAATATTTAGTTGCTAAACACCTTGCTGAGAATAAAACAGAAATAAGCAGTTGTTGTACAATGTTCTTATTAAGGCATGACTGGGATCAGTACCTGGTGCCATCCGATCATCCCAAAGGCAACTCCGTTCCCCAAGGATGGGTCCTTCCTCCGCTCCCCAGCAACGACATCTGGGCAACCGCCATTAAGCTGCATTAGTAAAGATGCTCCAGGAGTGTGGTCCAGCCAAGGCTGTTTCGAGCTCTGAATGTTAGAGATGCTGCCGTCGTCTTGTGCTGTAGACTAAAGCAGAACCTCTGAACTCTGTGTGGCTTCGCCCTACCCTGAAGTTGTCTTTCCCTTCTGTGCTCTATCCTGGCCAGAGGTGCCTCTTGAATCAGGAGATTAATACGGTTCTTCAGCAAAGGACCTAGGTGAACTGGGGTTAACTGGTAGCACAGGCAGTGGCCTTGGTTCACCAGATTTGCCTCTGTTTTGAGGGGCTTGGTCTAGAGTGACTTGGTGATTTACTCTGAACTTCTTTGTGTGGTGATAGTTAAGTACTCACATACACTCAATCCGGGTGTGTGCTGGGTGGATTTAGCTGTCCTCCCACAATAGTGTTACAGGCAAGGTTGTTGCAAAATCTCCTTACCTTCTACCCAAAGAGCCCTCGTAACTTCCAGGAAGAAAGGTCAGAAATGCTCATTATCTTCAGTTTTGTCGTTCCCGCTTTTGGTGGAGCTTAGGAGGCTGCTGGGAAGGAAGATGGTATTTGCTGCAGGCTGGGCTGCCAGAAAAGACTGTAGCCTAGCTTCGTAGTCATGTTGAGAACTTAGAAAACCTGAAGAGTCCCTCTGCCCACATTTGATCGTGTTTAAATGGATGATGGCTGCATTTCCCCCGTGTTAGAAGGATTCTAATGAAAGCAGCTGTTTTTTAAGTTCCTGGGGGGTCTAGCTCAGAATCCCTAAGGATAGAAATTTTTTCCCTGTAGGAGCGGGACTTTAACCTCAGTTGTACTGGAGGAGCCGCTGTAGCTGTGGAATTTTGTTAGGGACTCAGGCTTCCCAAAAGCACTCACGTAGTCAAAAACCCATTGCCACTGAGTGGGTTCTGACTCATAGAAACCCTGTAGGACAGAGCAGAACTGACCCTAACGGTTTCCAAGGAGGGGCTGGTGGATTTGAACTGCTGACCTTTTGGTTAGCAGCCAGATACTTAACCACTGCGCCACCAGGTCTCCCATGTAGTCAAAGCTGGGGAGAAATCGGATAGAAAATAATAAAATTTATTTTTTTATATTCGTGAATATATTCTGTGCCTGGAAATGATCAGTCATATAAAATGTCCATTTTTTGTTTTGTTTCATTCGTATTTTGTTTTTTATCATTTATTGTATTATTTATATTTCCAAAAAGCTAAATAAATACCATTTTTATTTTTTAGTTTGAGCCTTTCCTCCTGATTTGTTATGTTGCCTTCAGAATCACTAAACACAGAATTTGTATTGATGAAACACATTTTCACTTCAAAATTCAAATTTATCAAATAGGCATTTTCTACAGGAAGATGAATCTTGAGAGCCAAATTAGTCCGCAAAATCCAACTTTGGATAATCAGGAAGGGCACTGACCCCTTTGCCCCTCTTCTGTTATTTAATTTGCATTGTTTAATTTATACATTATGCATTACAGAGTTAACACACAGTGTGTGAGAGCCAGTACTCCCCCTCCAAAGTGTATGTCTAAGCTCATAAACCTTAAAATCCCATGTGATTAGCCTCACATAACTCCACAGCTCTGTGTGCCTTTTTATTATAAATCTCTCACCATTTGCTCTGATGAAATGCAGGAAAAGTAGAAATCAGAGTTGAATGATACGATGTTTGTTTGGTGTCCAGGTTGCCTTGCCACTAAGATACCTGTGTTGATAGGGGCTCGTCAGGTAGTAAAGCAGGGACTCGGGGAAGGCTCAGCCAGCAGAACTCAAGGAAAGGAAGGCATTTAACCCCAGGTTGAAATAAACAGACCCTCTTTCCTCTCATTTGGCCTCTGCAAGGTTTTAATCAAGTGAGTGTTGTTTTTGTTTTGTATTTGGAAAGACGTTTTCCCCCGTTTATTGCTTGTATGCAGCAGTAGCTGCAGGTTCTCTACAATTTTAGAAAGAAAGAGTGTACTTCTAAGAATATGAACAATGCCATTGGAATCTTGGCCCACAGTCTTGTCTTTTTCTTTTTTTTAATCATATGGAAAATTTCAAATGTATTCAAAAGTACAGAGAATAGTATAATGATTACCCACGTCCCCGTCACCCGGCTTCAAATAATTGTCAACTCATGGCCAATCTTGTGTCTTCTGCACCCTCACAACTCATCCTGGATTATTCTGAAGCAAACCCCAGACATCATATTACTTCATTCATAAATATTTTATTATTGACAACTTTAAAACTTTAATCACCATACCATTATGACATCTAAAGAAATTAGTCATATCATCAAACTCCATCAATGTTCGAATTTCCCTATCTGATAAATGTGTTTTACCGTTGGTTCAAATTAGGATCTAAATATGATCCATACATTGCTGTTGTTGACCTAGATCCATGAACTCACTAGGGCTTACAAAATGGTGATAGTTTTAATTCTGTCTTCATTCTTCATTTATTAGCTGGACTATCTCTAAAAATAGAAACTTCTCATCAAAGAATTGGTTACTGTGGGGTACAGTTTGTATAGGAAAGACGAGATAAATACTTAATTCTCTTTATTTACCACTTACCGAAATAATGAGCTGATTCTCTAGCATCTTCCAAAGGTGGCCAGTAAGTTTTTAAGTATCATTATGAACTCCAATCTAAACATATTTATGTTTCAATCCATTGTTGTTATCTTTATTATTTCATCTTTGGCCAGTGGGAGCCTCTTTACCTTGGCTCCTGAGTCCTTTTGATACTATCCCAGTATTCTGTTCCCAAGCTTATTTTGTACATTTTCTGTCCCAGATCTGGGACCAGTCATTTCTCCAATGAGCCCTGGTTCTTCTACCCTGGAAAAGATATTTAAAGACCACAGTCTGTGATAGGGATGTTCGTTGGTACTGGGTTAGTCATTGTTTCTTGTTCTTCTGGGAACTACAGTTCTGTTGAGCCTTCAGCCCTTTTGTAAATAATATCCTTTCTATACTTAAATTCTTTATATATTGAATATGAATTAATGAAAATAGAAGAATAAAAGTCAAAGAACAACCAGAAAGTTAACCAGTTATCTGCTGATTCATCATTCCCTACATGCAAGAATATTGTTTTATATTATTTCCCAGTAGAGAAGACTTGGTTTGTGAGAAGCTCTAACAAAAGCATTTATTTTTAAGAAATTAGGTAAATACAGGGAAGATTAGGAAGCTGTGCAATAAAGATGTTAAATACTAAGGGTGTTCAACCTGAGTGGCTGAGCTTATGACGTCAGAGGATTTGCTGCTGTAAGCCGGCTAGCTTAGTCACTCTGATCTAAAGCCATTCATGTTCCTATGTCCATGTGACTTTTGTGCAAGGATATATCAAGAAGCTTAGCTAGAATTACACCATCTGTTGTAGCCTTTTACTTCTACATGTTTTGTCCGCAGAGAAGCTATCCTGGGAATTACAAGGTGAGTACAAAGCATGTCTTGTTCCATTAAATAAATATAATGTTGTAATATATAAGAGACACATGAATGCTATGAAGTATTAGTAATGATACATTTTAAAGAATAGAGATGATGTGATATTTCTAACTAAATCATTATTAGTATTTTTAATGCTTAGAACCAATGAACTATTCCTGGATGATAAGCTGTTTACTTTTGCGTGCATCCACACAGTAGTTCCTGGCCTGACACCCATGAAGAATTTGTTTCCAATGCGAGTTCTGATTTCTGGAGTAAACTGGACTTCTCATAAGCCCTGAACCAAAGATTGAGGTCTTTGAAGCAACTTGATGTCAGAGTGCTTAACTACGCAGAGCAGTAGATACTTCTCTCAACTGTATTCATTCATTCATGCTTGCCAGAGTCTAGATACCAGGATTTGAACTGTGTTCTTTGGAAAATGATTTTTATTTACCATTTGCTAGGTGCTGGAGACATAAAGAGGAGCAAGATAGACAGACTTCCTGCCCTGCCCAGCTAGAGTTAGAGTCTGCAGTAGAGAAGTTTAATGATTATACAGATAATTAAAGTACTTGCTAATGGATTTATATTTTTCATTGTTCAGATATTTATTAAGTGCCTGTTGAGGTCCAGATAATTTGCTAAGTACAAGGATAAAATGTTGAACAAAATACCCAATACTCCCTAACCTCAAGGAGAATACAGGTTTTGAGGGAGGTAGATCCAGCAGTCATAAAAATAAATGTGCTGAGTGCTTTGAAGGAAAGCGTGATTCTATGAAATTATGAATTAGAATTTTCAGACTGAAGATTCTGTAATACATTTAGGTGAAATAATAGAAAATATCAGTGTATTATGTAACAACACAACAAAAAAAAAAACCAAACTCGTTGCAATCGAGTCAATTCCGAGTAAAAATGATCATTTTTTAGCTTATATATGTGCATGCTACGTTGCAGGTGCCCTGGTGGCACAGTGGTTAAGCACTTGGCTGGTAACTGAAAGGTCAGTGATTCAAACCCACCAGCTGCTCCATGGGAGAAAGATGTGGCAGTCTGCTTCCGTAAAGATTTACAGCCTTAGAAACCTCATGGGGTAGTTTTACTCTGTCCTGTACAGTTGCTATGAGTAGGAATCGACTTGACGGCAACACGTTTGGGTTTTGGTATGCTAGGTTGCAAAGTCAAATGTATTTCATACTATGAGTCATAGTAAAAAAAAAATCTTGAAAGCCTCTGTACTAGGGGAACCTAACCAAATTTGGAAGTCAGGGAAACCTTTTTTGAGGAAGTGATGTTTCAATTGAGCCCTGAAGAATGAACAGCTGTTAACTAGTTTGGGGGAAGAGACAGGGAAGAAGAACATTACAAGTATCTGGAATAGCATATGCAAAGGCCCTGTGGTGGGCCAAGAAGACCATAGCAATTGAAGGCCAGTATGGCTGAAGTCGTCTATGCCAAGAAATTTGGAAGACAGCTACCTGGCCAACCAACAGGAAGAGATCCACATTCATGCCCATTCCAAAGAAAGGTGATCCAACGGAATGCGGAAATTATCGAACAACATCTTAGAAGAAGTACTTGCTTTTTAGAAGCAAGGATGGCAAGACTTCATCTTACATACTTTGGACATATTATCAGGAGGGACCTGTCCATGGAGAAGGACATCACGCTTGGTAAAGTAGAGGGTCAGTGAAAAAGAGAAAGACTCCCAATGAGATGTATTGACACAGTGGCTGCAACAATGGGCTCAAGCACAACAACGATTATGAGGATGGCACAGGACTGGGTAGTGTTTCGTTGTGTTGTACATAGACTCGCTATGAGTCAGAACTGACTCAGTGGCACCTAACAACAACAACAATCATTAATATCACGTGCAAGTGAAATTATGCTGAAGATAATTCAAAAACAGTTGCAGCAGTACATCAACAGAGAACTGCCGGAAATTCAAGCCGGATTCAGAAGAGGACGTGGAATAAGGGGTATCATTACTGATGTCAGATGGATGTTGGCTGAAAGCATAGAATGCAAGAAAGATGTTTACCTGTGTTTTATTGACTATGCAAAGGCATTTGACTATGTGGATCATAACAGATTATGTAAAATGTTGTGAAGAATGGGAATTCCAGACTGTGCTTATGCAGAATGTAGCTAGACCAAGAGGCAGTCATTCGAACAGGACAAGGGGTTACTGCATGGTTTAAAATCAGGAAAGTTGTGCATCAAGGTTGTGTCATTTCACCATACTTAATCAATCTATATGCTGAGCAAATAATCCGAGAAGCTGGACAATATGAAAAAGAACATGGCATCTGGATTGAAAGAAGTCTCATTAACAATATGTGGATACACGACATTGCTTGCTGAAAGTAAAGAAGACTTGAAGCACTTACTGATGAAGATCAAAGACTACAACCTTCAGTAGGGATTACACATTAACATAAAAAAAAACAAATACAACTGGATCAATAAGCAACATCATGATAAACGGAGGAAAGATTCAAGTTGTCAAGATTTCATTTTACTTGGCTCTACAATCAACACCCATGGAAGCAGCAATCAGAAAATCGAATGACATATTGCATTGGGCAAATCTGCTGCAAAAGACCTCTTTATAGTGTTAAAAAGCAAAGATGTCATTCTGAGGACTAAGGTGTGCCTGACCCACGCCATGGTATTTTCAGTCACCTCATATGCTTGCGAAAGCTGGCCATTGAATAAGGAAGATCGAAGAACTGATGCCTTCAAATTACGGTGTTGGCAAAGAATATTGCATATACCATGGACTGCCAGAATGAGCAAATCTGTCTTAGAAGTACAGCCAGAATGCTCCTTATAAGTGAGGATGTCGAGACTTCATCTCACATACTTTAGAAACGTTGTCAGGAGGGACCAGTCTCTGGAGAAGGACATCATGCTTGGTAAAGTAGAGGGTCAGCGAAAAAGAGGAAGACCTTCAAAGAGACAGACTGACACTGTGGCTGCAACAGTGGGCTCAAACATAGCAACGATTGTGAGGATGGTGCAGGACCCGACAGTGTTTCGTTCTGTTGTGCATGGGGTCGCTACGAGTCAGGCCCGACTCGCTGGCAGCTGACAAAAAGCATGGCTGAAGTAAGATGGGAGGTGAGAGCGAGTGTGGGCCAGACCCTGCAAAGCTTCAGAAGCCCTTGTCAGGAGTTTAATTTTTATTCTGAGAGTTGTTGGGGACCATTGGAGGATTTTAAGCAGGGGAGTGGCTTGGTTTTGTGTTTGAAATGATTGCTCTTGCTGCAGTGTATGGAACAAAATTACAGTCTAAGAGTGCATGAAAAGATGTAAAGAAACCAGTTGTCCAAGTGAGAGATAATGGGTGCTTAGATTCCCATGATAGATGTGGAGGTAGAAAGAAATGGCTGGATTCCAGAGATTCGGGAGATAAATCATGGCAGGGAATTTGAGATGGGCAGTGGTAAGGAGAGGAAAGTGTCAGGGATGAGTTCTAAGCTTGTGCACCTGGATAAATGCTACCATTCCTTGAGACAGGGAACCCTGGAGGAGGAGGAGCAATTTGGGGGAGGGGAGTTCACTCTGGATTTGTTGAGTAAGCACATGTGTTTGTAAGTTTGATCTCAGAAGAGAACTACAAAATCTTGTGAGTCACTGGCATATAGATAATTTATAGAAAATAAGTCAGTGAACTTAGTTGTTTCAACAATCAGTGTAAAATTCTGTTGATCTTCCACAATGAAAAATCGACTTTCACCAATTTTGCTGTGAACGGTTTATAATTGAAGCTGTGGGCAAGAATGAAGACATTGAGAGTATAGTGGAGAGCTTTAAAAAACAGTGCTAATGGCATTGCCTGGGTCCACCCTAGACCAATTACCACAAGTCCCATCCTCTGCCCCCTACCCTCCCCAGCAGGGATGGATTACCCAGTAAGCAAAGTAAGCATGTGCTTAGGGCATCAACAAAACAGGGGTACCAGTTGTCCAAAGCAAAGACCCACAGATGCCAAGCAGATAGGACACAAGGAAAAGCAATTGCCATAGTGGAAGGGAACTGGCGAGGTACTAAATGAAATTGATAGCAGAGATTGTATGTTGTCATGTTTAAACCAAAGACATGGTTTTGACTTAACTCATGAGCCAAAAACACAAATTAATGGAGAGTGTCAAAATGCAAACACTAGAGTATGTATTTATGTTGGTTATGTGGAATGAATACATTGCAACATATTGTTGTAATTATAACCATCACTGAATGTGGACTATCTTTTTGAGGAAGAAAGGAAGTGTTTGGGTCCCCACAAAATGGAAATTTTGGGGGTTTACTTGAACTTGTTGCTCAATTTGATCCATTTTTAGCAGGTCACATCTCAAAATATGTTAACACGGAAGGGCAACCCACTATATATGTCTAAAACAACATGTGAAGAATTAATAAACTTGATAAGTGATAAAGTTCGATTAACTATTTTCAATGAAATAAGTATAGCTCAATATTTCAGCTTGTCTGTAGATTCCACTCCTGGTCTTTCTTATACAGATCAGCTAACTATTGTTTTAAAACACGTATCTCTAACAGATGGAAAACCTGTCGAGTGATTTATCACATTTATTAGCTTAAAAAGTCATACCGGTGAAGAAATTGCAAATCAAGTACTTCACTATTTATGTAAAGTTTGCAAAACTGATTTTTCTAAGCACAGAAGCCAGTCCTATGACAATGCTGCCAATATGTCAGGGCATTATAAAGGCATGCAACAGAAAATTTTAGAAGGTACTAAAAATGCCATTTTCATACCATGTGCTGCACATTCACTTAATCTTGTAGGATTTAGCATGGTAGATTGTTGTCCGGAAGCAGTTAATTTTTTTTCTACTGTTCAGTTACTCTACACATTTTTTGCCACCTCTACTCAGCGATGGGCAGCTGTCAAAACATATTTAGGCAATGACTGTGTATTAAAATGTCTTTCTAATACGTGTTGGGAAGCTCATGCTGTAGCAGCGAGTGCAATCCTGGAATCATACCCTCAGATTCTAGATGCCTTAGAAAATATTGCTGAAGACCAGACACAAAAAGGAGATACCAAAAGAGAAGCTGAGAACATCGCCAACAAAATGCAAACGCTAGAGTATGTATTTCTGCTGGTTATGTGGAATAAATACATTGCAGCATTTTCATCGGACAAGTCACGCTCTCCAAGATCCAGA